GAGGGAACCGTTGAGTCACACCACATGCCAGGCCAACGCGTGAATAGAACCCGAATGAGAAGTAGACAACGAGGTGCGCGTGAGTCCGGCTGGTGACATGGACAGTATCCTGTGATGGTGGTAAGGAGGAAATCAAGGCATATAAGTAATCATAAAGCAACCTAGACAAATGACTGTGGAGAATAAAGTGAAATGGTAATATGCTTTGCTGAAGTCCTCTGTTTCACTGGGGAATACTAATGAAAGTAATAATAATAATAATAAAAAACGCGCTCGCGAACACTACCCAGCCTGGCTAGTAAAAGGAGACCGAAAACGTGTATACAGTTCAGTGACAGAACATTTGGTCAACTCAGGACATTCAGCGCCTTTCGAAAAATCCTTCAAAGTAATATACAAAATTCAATCAAACCTATCAAAGGGAATCAAATCAAGACATCTGGGCATAGCTGAGGCGCTAGCTATCCAAAAGCTCAAACCCACACTTTGTATCCAAAAGAATTACGTCCAACCCCTCTCCCTACCATGGCCATCATAAACAGGTAAAAATTTTTTTAGTAATGACAATCTCATCACCTTTCTTATCTAAACTTCCTGTTTATTCATGTTATTTTAAACCCTGTTTACACTACCATATTTTCATACCCACTCTTCCTGTTTATTTTGTCATTTTACTATTTCTACATATTTAATCCCTGATTGCATAAACAATTATTCATCATATTAGTTTTTTTATACAAACATCCTGTATATTTTGTTATTCCTACATTTCTAACCCCCAATTGCACAATGTCAATCTTCTTAGTTATTATAATGCTACTTTGTTCGAGTCTTACCCATCCCCCCTGTTTGTTACGTCATTTTAATTCCTAATTGTAATTTTTTATTAATTTGACCCCTAACCAGAAATTATTCTGGAACTTTCCTATCCATTTGATATAAATACACGAATGTACAGCCTAGATGATGACTTCGTCGAAAAGAAAATTTTCTTCGCTGCAATTGTCTTTTTATTAATTCCTAAGACCCAATGTGTATATTCCGTGAATAATTGATATAATTACAAAATAGTAAGCTTAAATCCATATGTTGACTGGGAAAGATTTCAGAAAACTGGAGTAAAGGAATTTGATTTTTATTTTAGTTATTATATTAACCGTCTCAAATTTCACTCCAGTCTGCAATCCAATACTTCCTTCTTTTATAAATCCAATTTTTTCTCCGAGAGATAGAGTCAAATCTTTGATTATTCACGTGAATTCGGTTGATCAGTCTACTATGCTTGAATTTTTAAAGATCTTAGATCCACCTGATTATTGTTGGTGGTGGTGTCGGTGGTGTAGATTATGTTTCCTTTTTGTTGTCTGATATGTTGACTGATATTCAGGTCGAATGGAGTGTTGTTTTCATGTCTTCTATTTTAGGAAAAAGTAGACGTAACACTGAGGAAAATAATTTTTCCCCTCTGATGTATCATTTTCAAAATCTGCTATAGAACCGCATTTACCTTTAGATTAAAAATAGAGAAGGATTATCTGAAACTAAGTAGAACAGGTGAAGTTTATAAAACAGAAGCTGACGTTTAGAAATCAGTATGAAAAGTTACTTAGTCAATCAGCCTGAATGTCAAAATATGAACAAAAGATGAGGTGTTTAGGTGAAGTCTATACATCAGATTCACAGTTTGCAAACTAGTTAGCAATCTACAGTCTACACGGTTTGGAGGGCGGGTGAAATTTCCACCACAATGTCCTTTGAAAAAGGAGATTATTCACATCACAGTGTGTGATTTCTTATTACCACCAAAGTGATAATTAAGAAAGCAAGTGTAATTGGATAAAACTATTCATAATGTTGACTGACTGAGATGAATAGGTTCCTACTGCTCATATTAATCAGTAGTGCTTGCCAGCCAGCCCGCCAAATTGAAGTGGTCTAAACACCGAACGGAAATTTCGCCCGTTCAGGACCGGACTCATTAGCCGCGTATATTGTCCGACTCAGCTCAGATATGGGTGCTATATAACTACCCATCCCAGTCAATCAGTAGTACAAAGTTTTGCAGAAATCTATAGATAGGTGATGAAATACATAAAACAATTTATGAGAATTCTGATGCGGTAACATTATGTTTCATTCCTTTGATTTCTGGGTGAACATGAGGCTCCAAGCTTTTCGCTTTGAAGTTTCAATAACAGTGATGTTTATTTCTTACATGGTGCAGCTGATAGCCTCAGGCTCACCTAGCATTCCATTTTTATCTGTTTCATTGGAGGGTGACAGAGTGATTTATGCGTACATTCGCGGTTGGTAATCAAAACTCCAGACTTTATAAGTTGTCGGTGAGCATTCTACCACCATAATGAGGTTAGATAACAAAATCAGATTACATTGAATTCAAAAATTAGGAGCTGACAGGTAAGATTATGCCAGGAACCCCATATTTGGAATTTAATCCATCCATATTGGAGTTAATTTCTGCCACGGTGCCGAAGTTCTACACTGACATTAACGCGCAAAACTGTCAAAACTGGATACATCTAACCGAAGTCATATCTCTCACTTACCTTAGCTAGAGAGCGTCATGTCAACTACTGCTGGTAGCATAGATAAGTATATTAAGACCAGCTATGATGAGATTTTTGATTTTTGATTTTACAGCTTGATTCCACACCGTATTTTCAGTACAAGTGTGGAATTTTCAGCATGGATATCGGTAGCCCAAATTCAGGCCGACCATAGATATCGGGTGTGCGCCGGCAGGGGATCGAACCCCGGACCATGTGCATGGTCGGCGAGAGTCCTAACCACTGTGCCACCGACGCAATAACGAGGGATACTCGGATTAATCTGGAGTCGGTAAGGAAAATTACTCCACCATATCAGCACAAGGATTAAGGTCCAGATTTTCAACACTGACGTCAAATCAATCAGTGCTTCTATGTGGTTCACAGGCTTGGCACAAAGGCGTCACCAACAGCATTTCGAAGTAGGCCTGTGAAGACTTTCATCAACAACTGCTATCTTCGCTGCCACGAAACCGAATATGAGATGGCTGGTCGAACACTAAGCATAAGCAACAAGGAATTCTGGCAGGTAATGAAAGGCGAAGCAAGAGTGTATCTCTTACCATGGATTGGACATGCACAGCGAGGAGATCGCCAAGTGGTATCTTGTGGCACAGCGGGCCATCAGTGCTCAATCTGAACGTAATTGTGAAGTGAGCGACGAGTTGAAAGTGTGTCCGGTTAGTGACAAGGAAGGTATCCTGTGCTAGTGTCGAGGAGAAAATGAAATCACACTTGCAGTCAAAGAACCAACTAAATCAATGACTACAGTGAAAATCAACGCACACACATAACGGCAGTTATCAATTGATTCACAAAACAAACTATGCGCAAACATTGTCTAAAAGAGTTCAAACGCACTATTGCACTCTAGTACTGAAAAGAACAGAACAGAAATGTCTGCTAAACTTCTTCAAGAATAATGGATACCTATACTATTTCATCAAAAAGTGTTTAATCTCAAGTCAAAATGCCAATAAGAAAAAATCTTTAAAAATCACAAGAAAATTCATTATGCCATATATAAAGAATAGAATATCTCCGAAATAACTATAACTAAGACACAGCACACATGCCAACACAGTCACTTCAATATTGTGCAGACTAAGAGATCCAAAAGCGCAAGAAGACAATGTCAACTCACCATCTTCAAAAAAATTCCATAAATTGTGCTAAGCACTATGCTGGACAAAGTGGGAGTTCCCTTCTACTCAGAATCCAAGAGCAAAAATTAGCTATGAAGAAATACGATATGTTTTCTTTCATTTTCGTACATGTAGGCACTTATGGACAGCAGGCTAAGTGAGTAAGTATAACGATTTAAAACACAGTTAGCATCAAATAGTACAGTCATGGAATGTCTAGTGATCTGGTACCCAGATGAATATCTGCAACTAATTAAGACATTACTGTAGATCAATCAAATTTACCAGTTAATAAAAAATAAACCATATGACGGGAAAGTTCGAATTCTAAGTCAATAAAAGTCCTCACAGTGTAATCAGAACAAGATGATTCCTGAGCGAACAGTAGTTTTCGATAACTTCTTCCTCAGGCTGCGTACAGTTACAAATCCATGAATAATATGGGAATATAAATAGCCGGGCAGTAAAGGTAAATGCAAATTCTACCAGAAACTGTCTGCATTGGGATACATGTATAAGATGGAAAGATTGTCCGTCAGCTAATATTGTCAATTGAATGTATATTTTAAAAAATGTACAGTCATTCAGAGCATACGATAAAATGTGAATAGGCAAATGGGTGACATATGAATCCACTTATATTCAAAAGAATATAAGTTTCATTTGAATGTGATGAGTTATATTCAGTGGTGTGCGAGGAAAACAATTATTACAAAATACATACAAACAAATACCAAGCGACTGGAGAACACTGATTGTCGGTTCAAGGGCTGACAGATTTCAAAATAAATAAATAAAATAAATAGGTTGATCTCCTTAACCTCTCTGAGGAGTCATCTTGTTCTCAATAAAAATGATCAGTGAATATGTTAAATAAGAACATATCACGACAATGGTTGTCAGTAGATACCATTATATCATCACCATTCATGGAGAATTCAAATAAGTTCATTTCATATAAAAGTTTTCACTGAAAGTGTTGTCTAGAAATACAACGAAAGCTTCGCAGTTAATTAAATCAACCAGCTTAGAGAATACAATCAAATATAATTCATCCACGTGAGCTACAAATCTTCTCTAGTATGTAACAAATAATTATTGTTATACGGAAATGAGTTGTTTATTCATCATCATCCTATCACTATTATTATTATTATTATTAGTTAACCAAAGTTAAGTTAGCACAAGTTTAAATCGAACAGAAACAGTGGAATAAGAACAGGCCAAGTAGGAATTATTTGCTCTTGTGCCATTTTTCAACTCTCTAGTTTTATTCCCATTAGAAAACATGGTATAAAGACAAGACCAATGAACAAAATAATAATAAATAATAATAGGGGTTGTCTTTTTGTATGAGTTTTTCAGTAATTTTGGGGGGGGGGTGGGCAAGTAGGTGGATGGTTGGATTGTTGGTCGGTCGGTCAGAAAAAAATTAGGAAGCTAGAAAGGCAAGCAACTGCAAAAGAGGACACCAGAAGAAAGAGAAAAAGAAACGGAGTATGGAGACGACCCATTCCACTAACAGAGGAGGGGGAGGAGGAGAAAAGTCTTAATTCTTAGTTTCTTCTTTCCCATATTTTTTGAAACATTATCAAACAGGAAGTGAGAAAATCATAATAATGATGACAATAATTATTTTCTTTAAAAAAAGCATCTGGAACTAAAAAGTAGGACAGAGCTAGGGATAGATATCTAACGACCTAATTATGTAACTGATGCGTGCATACAACGACCCATATTTACGTATATAAATGTATGCATAATAACCCGTAGGTTGTTCAGAAATCAGAGAAACAAGAACAACTTTTCAGAAAAAAACACAATAGGAAGTCAAACTAGGAATATTTAGTGTTTCCCTTTAAAAAACGAAAACTCAAAAAACCGCCCTTTTGAAGAACCATTGAAAAGCCATCAACAATGGAGTATTAGACAGCTGTTTCGTTTGCCCAGTTCAGGTCTCTTCAGCAAAGTTCAAACCCAAGATTTTCCGGTTGCAAGGTGGGCCTATTGGTCATTCAGACTAGGAGAATCAATCCAATGGCCTTTGAATCCCAGCCTCTGCCTACTTGCGTTTCATACCACAACCACAAGTCAGCGTCAGCTTAGAGTAAGAGATGTCAACTCCTGGTCAAATCTGCAAAGCAATCGAATTCTCACAAACCATTATTTTAGAATCACCCTGATGCTTACTGGTGACTGGTTCTATACAAAAGTTTACCCGAAATCTAATGTGACTAGCAATATCCATCATGTAAGGTAAGGCGACGGATGCTCGTCTATTACATTAATTGACAGATGAATTCTCAAGAGTTGGGATTCATGGACTCGCCATTAGAACGGATCCCAATTGCTGAATAGTCTACGAGTTTCCATTGTAACCGGAATATCTTGCGTTTGAATCCCAGTGTGTCCGTACTGCAGAAGAGCGTCATACTGATCTGATGAAACATCAATTCATTACTCTCAGAAATTCATTTCCCTTCTTTAGCTGTACCATTTCTTTTTCACAAGATACGATAGCAAAATAGGTGACGAATTGTTGTCATAATCATCATTGTTAATATTATCAGTCGCTACACAAGAGAAGTTGAGCAAGGATGGGTGTTAGAGTTACACAATGAGACAAATAACTTATTGAATGAGCTTTCATTAGGATGAAATACGAGAAGAACTATGAGCAATCATGAGGCCTTTGAAGGCTAACTGTATAGTCGAACATTTATACATACAAAAGTTTCAAAATACTTTAATTATCCCTTAGGCTGCATGTAAGACGTGGTCTTCAAGAACACATCCCCACTTTGTTCTGTTTTCTGCTGTCTTCTTCAGCTTGGTCCGCGATTGCCCAAACTCCCTCATCTCTTCCTCACACGATCTCATCCATGTCACCATGGGACAACCTACTCGTCGCTTCCCTTTTGGATTCCACTCGAGGGCCTGGCGCGATGTCATTTGATGGTCTCCTCAACGTTTGCCTGATTCATCTCCATTTTCTCCTACAAATTTGTTGAGAAGTTGACTCTTGGTTGGCGTGTTTCCAGCCAGCTAGAGTTCCCCGTCACTAATTCTTTCTGTCCGGCCGGCCATTTCATCTAAAGTATGCAGTGTGCGAAGGCAGCTGTTGATGAAAGTCTGCAACCTGTTTGAAATCCTTTTCGTGACACGCACTTCTTGTTTCTGACCCGTATAGAAGGACCAACTTGAATTTGGTGTTGGAAATCAGAATCTTGTTCTTTCTGCTGGCTGAGTGACAGCAGAAGATTTCTAAACTGGTTTCAGGTTGATGAAGGCGTGCATATCTCGCCTTCGTGATTCCAACTTTTATATCTTCATCCGCTCGACGTGGCTGTAGTTGGCAAGATGCTTCTAAGCTGTATGTAATTTAATTCTATGTCGTAACGAAAGAGATTAACGGCGATAATACTTTTCACCTTGATGTGTAGGTGTGAAAGAAAATAAATTACAAGTGTTTTAAAAAACCTAAATAAGATCAGAAAACGGTTCCACTATATACAAAATGGTTTAATTCTAACCTAAAGGAGAAAAGTTTTAATGGAATGTCTTTTAGGAAAAATCAAATTATTAGGTTTCATAAATGAAAATGGAAAGCTTGACAACTAAGATCTGAAACATAACTAGACCTGGGGTAAATGTTGTAGATGTTGAACAACAGCCTTAACTCTGTACCCTGACCTCTTCTTTTAAACAAGTCTGCTGCGACAAAACCAGGTTCCTGGATTAATAAATGGCTTTGTTCTTACTTTCCTGGCAGTAAGCAGTATACTGTATATAATTGGAAGTCTCCCACTGCTTTACTTAATCAAAATCAGTATTCCTTAAGGCGCCTCTCTTTCTCCTTTTCTCTCTGATTTCTTGTCAGATAATTCGGATCATTCTGACGAAGCCAAATTGGATAAGTATTCCGATGATCCGACTGTCTCAATGTCAGTTACGTCTCAGTCAGATTGTTTCAAAGTCAACGGCATTTAACCGTAAATCTAAATCTGTCCAAATGTCAGATTGTCAAACTGCACTTTCAGACATAAATGAAATTTACATGGTCTGGTCGGTTTCCATGATTCATGTGACGTAACGCAGTGAAGACAATCTGATCTCACTCGGTCAGTGTCTACATTTACATTTCATTAATTCTTGGGCTCGACGTATTCTTCTCCAATGAACCCTCACCCATGGAATCTTTCCTGGGCTACTAAAGAAGGACACTGTTACTCTGAGGAGAGCACTGAAAGCTATCAGTAGCAAGATTGCGATATCTCGAAACCAACTTTTTAATATTGTTGTAGATAAAGGACACATGACCTGAGGTAGGGAATTAGCGAACACCATCTTGTCGGATGAACTCTGAACATCCTCTCTATGCACGACTCGCTCCTCGCATCTCATCAAGTAGCACTAGAAGCAATTAAACAGAATTTTACGCTCGTATATACGTTATTATATACCTTATATATACAGTGATACCTTATTCATCTGACAGTGATTTTATGTGATGAGAAACGTGTGGGGTATGACCCTAGTAACTCACTAAGAAACACTGAGTAAGCTGCCCTTTTCCTTTTCTCTCGCACTAATACATTGTTGTTAATATTTTCCCTTAGATTTTAATTTGATATTCATATTCTAATTGGCATTATAATCAATGCAAATGCCGTGTTAATTATTTCCCTTCGCCCTGTAGTAGGTAACGTAAGTAGATAATTACATGTAGCATATTTTACTATATACTGAAAATTTCACATTGTATCAGCAGCAGTTATTAGGATAAAGTCATAAGTAGTTTGTTTTCAACCCACAGATCCTACTACTGAATGACTATGACGAGGGCTTCTGTAGTACAAAGAAGTCGGTAAAACACTTGCCTTCGATAAGGTTTTGCTCATGTTGTAAATGACTTTGAATGATGTATGAATCAACGGAGTTCCTGAATTCAGAAAAGTCAAATCATGTGCTGATCAAGTTGACACTCTACACATCGTTATCACAAAACAAAGCATAGAATGGCCGTCAACTCTCATTCTACCTCATAGACTTCGCAAAGGCCTTCGACAGGCAGCGCTGACCGAGACGTAATTTGGAAACTACTTCAACACTACAGCGTGAAGTGCTCAAATCTTTATCAACCTCATTCAACAGCTGGCCAAATGACAACGCCACGTGACAGGTGACTGACAACGGAAAACTCAGAGAGGTGTTCGGATTGCATATAGGAGTAAGACAGTGCTGTCTATTATCGCCAATGATATTCGTAATTGTGGGGGACTGGATTATGCATCAGACTGTGAGTGAGGAGCAGGGAGACAGGGATACGCTGGACAACCGATAAGAAGAATCTAGAAGATATGGATTTCGTGCGTGGATGATATATGTCTAATGTCACACAAACTCGAAGACTTACAGGCAGGTGAAAACCAGCAAACTGGCAGAAAAGGCTGGCTGACAGCAAAGATAGGACTGCAGGTGAACATAGAGAACGTGCAGATAGATGTATGTCTGTCTGTCTGTATTCGACATAGAACTTTGCACCGATGTGCGCAGTTCAAGTCGCCACACTCCATGTAGCACACAAAGCAGGAGTAGAAAGTGGAAGAAATGAATAATAGAGACAGTGAACAGAGGTTAGAGACAAACGAGTAGTAGTAACGAAGAACAATATAGTTTCATTGGAAATCAAAAGTCACAAGGAGTGGATGCATCTGCGCCAGCCATTGAGAACGATTTTGAGTCATATCACCAATTGTTTCCAACAATTGGTTTTTACCGTTTCGAGGACCACAACCAGGAAGTCTATACCTTCCTACGTGACTGGCTTAAACTAACTGTTGTGGATTTCATTGACTGATGAAGCGATGTTTTGGTTTGACCGCCGCTAGCTCTTTTCCAGCCTGACCCTATGTCAGCTACCATTGCCCATTGTTGAGGAAGGCGATGGCTAGGCATACGTAACACATGTTCTAACCATCTCAGTCAATGTAACTTCACAGCCATGTCGATTGATTTCCCCTCCTTACCTAGCACTCGAAGCCTAACCTCAATATTACTCACCTGATTATAACACTTCACATGGGAGGTAGAGCGCAGGCGACTATGATCAAAGTCAGCTAATCTTTTGATGTCTTCCACTCTCAGTGGTCATGTCTCACCGCCATAAAGGAGGACGGAGTGGACCGCTGAGCAGTACACCCACCCTTTGTTCGATAGCCGGATATCACGTCTAGGCCAGAGACGGCGTAATTTGGCACATACGAAACTAGCCTCCTGTATCCGTGCTGTGATTTCGTCAGTGATCAACGCGTTGATGTTGACTGATGGTACTTCCCAAATACGTGAAGCGGTCAACGTGCTCTACCACTCCACCAGTATTTCTAAACCATTTTGTATATAGTGGAACCGTTTTCTGATCTTATTTAGTTTTTTTAAAACACTTGTAATTTATTTTCTTTCACACCTACACATCAAGGTGAAAAGTATTATCGCCGTTAATCTCTTTCGTTACGACATAGAATTAAATTACATACAGCTTAGAAGCATCTTGCCAACTACAGCCACGTCGAGCGGATGAAGATATAAAAGTTGGAATCACGAAGGCGAGATATGCACGCCTTCATCAACCTGAAACCAGTTTAGAAATCTTCTGCTGTCACTCAGCCAGCAGAAAGAACAAGATTCTGATTTCCAACACCAAATTCAAGTTGGTCCTTCTATACGGGTCAGAAACAAGAAGTGCGTGTCACGAAAAGGATTTCAAACAGGTTGCAGACTTTCATCAACAGCTGCCTTCGCACACTGCATACTTTAGATGAAATGGCCGGCCGGACAGAAAGAATTAGTGACGGGGAACTCTAGCTGGCTGGAAACACGCCAACCAAGAGTCAACTGCTCAACAAATTTGTAGGAGAAAATGGAGATGAATCAGGCAAACGTTGAGGAGACCATCAAATGACATCGCGCCAGGCCCTCGAGTGGAATCCAAAAGGGAAGCGACGAGTAGGTTGTCCCATGGTGACATGGATGAGATCGTGTGAGGAAGAGATGAGGGAGTTTGGGCAATCGCGGACCAAGCTGAAGAAGACAGCGGAAAACAGAAAAAGGAGGAGATATATTTTTGAATCCCTATGTTCCACTCCTAACTCAAGGGAATAATATTAATTTAGGAGGATTAACTACATGTTACGTAATCTCCGTGCTGCTTGGGTTCTCTGAATGGATTTGGTTTACATCTTTTGGTTGGCTGGCTACGTCGACACCTCGCCATCTCTCTTTTTCCTTGCCTAAGAAGAAGTAGGTGAGGTTAACAAGTATTATTTATTACGTTGAGGGATTCGTCATACCCTTTACAGTAGTGATGGTGTTATTTTTATGGGGTAGATTTACCAGCTATCTTACCCTTCTTAACGGGCTTAACGCTAGCTAGACGAGGTTGAAAATTGTGTTGGTGACTGAGAATCTAAACAGAACTACGTTTGAGTCGTTAGTAAGCATTCAACAACCGAAACACTGAAGTAACTTCGTTTCACGTTCAGACCATGGCACTCATAAGAATGTCTGGGATAGGATCGGACGAGCAAGACAGACTGACATTTATCACTCTGAAATCAGTCTTGAAATCTTCTGCAATCAGCATCAGAAATAAGATGCGGGTTTTTAACAATAATGTCCAATTGCTCCTCTTATATGGTCAGAGACTTGATGTGTCACCAAAAGCTTTTCAAACAGCCTACTGCAGACATTCATCAACAGCTGCCTTCACTGGTTCCATGCTGAATATTAGATGGCAAACAAGAAACCATAAGCAAAAGAAAAACTAGGAACGAACCGAACGAGAACCTACTGGCCATGAAATATGTCGTAAGGAATGGAGATGGTTCAGAGACTAGCTGAGGTCAGAGAGTGACATCGAATGCCAAGTCACCGTTCGAATGGAACCCAAACTGGAAAAAGTGTGATATGCAGGATATCGTATGAAGTGAAGATGGAATCTTAGGGAAAATCGTGGGGGTAACTGTAAAATTACTACACAATCCAGAACTAAAATTGGACATGTTTACTTTGAAGGGCTATGTTCCACTTGGAACCCAGGGAGATAATGAATGCATAATCTAATCTCTGTATTTGGATAGTCTAGCAGGAATGTGAAGCCTTTGCGCTATCCAGTCGCCCCCTTCCTTTTTTATTTTGAATACGACGTATACTTTTTATACTGGGATCTGATTGGTTTAATTTTTTCAACCAATCACATTCATGTAGGACGGTTTGCAATAATATTTATTATATTTAATGTGAAAAAGAAATTTAAATAAAAATCTCCTAAGCTTGTCAATAATACCGCTACCGTAAGTTCTATCCTGTTCTTTTCCATATTTTCGTGTTGCTCTTTTTATTTTGAAGTACACTTTTTTCATTGATGATTGTCTGGAAGCCCTGATTTCCTCCTATTCGTCATATGTCTCCCACGAATTCACCCTTGTATGCAAAACTTGTAATTCGTCATTTATACTTGGAGCGTGATGTTACTCAACGATCTCCTTAGCGCATCTCGATTTCCTTCAGCATATTTGTTGATTGGTTTGCTTACTGTAAGAGTTCCTTTTTCCTTATCATTCCTGGTCAGTCATCTGATCTTTACTATCGAGACAGTGAAAGAGTTGATCAGTTAATCGTGCTCTCCATAACGCTGGTACTAAGTTCCAAAACCATACCGAGGCACAGATTGGTTTGACGTCAGTGGGGTAAATCCGGATTTAGTTCCTTATACCGAATTCATGATGTTTATTTCCATACTGATGTTCAGAGTAAAGAATGACTGTATGTCTTACCTACCCGATCCTATCTTTGACTTCCTCATCTGTACAGTCACTTGCAGTTGCAAAAGTGCTGTCTATTTCAAGTGACTGAAAATGGTGACTTCCTTTAGATTTTTTCCATTCACAGTGATTGGCGATTGATACTTCTTGTTGGTTGGTTGGTTGGTAGGGTATTTTCATGACGCCTGCCTTCTTCAGAATGCATGCTTCAAGTCCCATCTTCACCGCCAGCCTCTCCTGCCAACTTTCTGGTTTTAAACTGGCGAAATTGCATGTTAATAAAGCAGGATTTGATGAATCCGTTAAAATTCGCTAGAATGCTTCAGCTGAATATTCTATATTCGTGGAAAATTCCTTTCGGGACATACAGAAAATCAAAATAAGTGGTTCAGCTAGGTGACTGTTTTCAGCGATTTTATTATCAAGATGTACAACAGTATATATATATATATATATATGATTTTCAAGAAATTATATCCGGTGAGGGAATTGAGTCAAAGGTGTGAATACATGAAGTAAAAACAGTAGTATGAAATGCAATTAAAATGTTTGTGATTTCAATCATAGTTAAACGTCAAGTGGCAAAACAATTAATATCATACATAGAACAACTCATAGGATGTTTAGAACTTGCAAGGAGTATGGAATTGTAGGATTAGTAGGCGAATCGAATAAAAATAAAAAGGTTACGTAACATTGTGTGAAATCTGATAGCATAGAATTTAACGTTGGAAAACAGAATTGATTTAGAATGACAAGTGGAACGAGTGAAATAATACCGGGCTCAGTTCAAAGTGAGAATAGTAATGGTAAGAATTGACACAATAAAGGAAGAGTATACAGATTGAATTGACACAGGGAGAAATTTGGTAGAGCCAAAGTATGATTAGAGATTACCATACTTTTGCATAGAGGGATTAAGCCCATGAAAGTTGGACGGGTTGAACGAACTTTTTCTGTATACAGAAATCTGGCTTTTCTGTTTCGATAGCCAAGGCTTCAGCAATACAGATGAGTCGAGTATGTAGTGATTAGGGTGAATTACTGTTTTATCGATATAAGTATAAATTTTTGGCACCGTGGTAGAGTATAACTCCATTATAGATAAGATTTTATTTTGATAAATTACACAGTGTTATACAGTACTATTGTGGTGAGAGCGGTCTACTAGCCAAGTGGTGGACAGTAATTGAGGTCAATGTTTATGTATCAAATATTAGTCATGTTGTGGTGAGAGATGGTTGCTGGCCAAATTGGTTGACAGTAATTGAGGTCAAAGGTCAAGGTGGACAGGCGGTTACAGTTAACATATAGATGAACTGACACAGCCACAAGAGATGCAAGGTTAACTTGTGTGAGAACAACCAATCAACAGGCTGTATTTTCTACTAACATCTTATAACTGATGCCGTTTCGAGCACAAACTATTGCTCATAATCATATCAAGTCACTACTGTTTGCCTTGTAGATGACTTTAAAGGCGGAGGCTGTAGAGATGTTCAATGATCGTGCCTATTATTCCTCCACTTCCACCTCTTCGTAACCAGGCAGGACAGTGTTCTTGCAGCCTTTTGGACAAAACTCGAGTCGAACGACCGATATACATAGCTCCACATGAGCAGGTGAATTGATAAATGCACATAGAGTTGGTCAACAGTGGGATCTTGTCCTTCAGGCTATTGAAAAGTAATGCTCGACTGGTAAAGACTATTCTCAAACATGCAGCAGGGGATGTTCTTTTCAGGGACTGTGAGATCCTTCTTTTCATGATATCGGAAGCTAGGTAGCCTTTGAATTCTAAGCTCATGTATAGTATTTTCTTGGGTACGGATGATAAATCACATTTCATACGGTTTGGCTGTATATTCCTGCATATAAAACGTGGTGGAAATCCATTTTCTGTTAGGATTTTGCTCCAAAGATTTAACTCATCCTCCACAGTATCAGGGCTACATATGCGCCGAACGCGAGTGGCAAGCTACCGGATCAGGTTTCGTTTTCGACCAGTGGGTGCCCAGCTGTAGAAATCTGTCAGTTGATCATTCCCTGACAGCTTTCGATAAATCGATCTCTTCAGAGTTCCATCAGTCCTCATTGATGAGTTCACATAGAGGATATGAATACTAAACTCGTTCTCCATTTCGAGTGTGAATTTTACTGCTGGATGGCAACCATTAAATGTTCTGCGTACAGTCATAAGTGTATTACCTATCAGAAATACATTGATAGACATAAGGCTGAGAAGTAAAAAAAACTAACTACTCTGAATCCATCATACCAAATGACGAGTGTGAATGATTTTTGGGTCATGTTTAGACAGATAAGGAGGAATAGGTTATATCATATTTTAGCTGGTAGTTTCTCGAGTTTTCTGTGAAATTATTTGAAATACCCCTCTGTGTTTGTGATATAAAGTGTCTGCTGACAACGTTTGTTGTTGATAGTTGTTCACTTGCACCGATGTGTATTGATCTTTTTATCATTGACTTGGAATTTGACAATTACTTCGTCATGTGGCTCTTATTGTCCTTATTGTAGTTGATAAAATTAATCTATAATAATGATAATAGTAACAACAATAATTTTGCGCCGGTTATTCGTTCATATTCGCCTGAGTACCAATTAGGGGCTTCTAGGAATTCCCCTGGTATTGTTTTCACTGTTGGTGAAATTTCTACTTATTTTCGCAGTCAAATTGGCGGTGTCCCCAATAACTGTCTACACATACATATATATATGAAACAGGAATACAAGTCGTTTGTCCTTTGATAGGTAGTTTTATGTCCTTTGATTCGGAGTTTAAGGGGATGCTCACTGAGTTACAGAACGACAAGAAACTGGGGTATATTAGACACAAATATTTTAATTTTTGTGAATCATTGTACTTATCTCATAATCTGATTCTATTCAAAGTGACGTCATCATTGAGTGATACCTAGAAAAATCCATCAGAGGGCAAGCTTTGGTTCTCATTACTTCTCTAACCGATGTCGAATTGTGATGTATTCATGCATCTTTGCAGCTTATCTTCTGTTTTTTTCTGACGCCATCTCGAATATGTCGGGAACTGGTGTTAACTTTAAGAGTGAAGAAAAGGAGATCAACCACACTGTTTCTCACTCCTTGTCCACCTGAGTATAAAACTTACTAAAACACTAAAACCATAATCTACTGCAACTCTGTTGTTTACAATTACATAAAGTTAACTTTGTTGCAGTGTTTGAGCTTTGTGCAACATGAATTAATTTAGCAGGGTCAACAGTTATTGATGTAGCTAAACTCTCATGATCCGATATATAATATATGAAGTTGATTATCAGACACACTACACATTTAAAATTATTATTTACTGCATGACCAAAATTCGAACAGGTTCTATTATTCCTCATAATTATACTATCAGTAATCACTACACAACTTTGAAACTCTAATTGTATAGTCCCATTTACTCCTCCCAACCTATAGAAAAGGCAATGGTAGAATTTTCCAGATTTCTTGGCTGCATAGGTATTGAGTCATTTCACTTGAAAATATATTCCGTCACAAAAAAATCAATTTTCGTTAACTAATCTATATAAAGGGAGATATTTCCTCTCCACCTGTCGGACTCAGCCACTCCTACTACTCTCACCTATGTATGCCAATTGTCAATCATTACACAAGGGTATTACACAAACTAAATTGCCACGTTTGGTCGGCTACACAGGATCCATCCTACAAACCAACATAGCTTGTTTCTAAGTGAATTCGACATCAGTGACTGAGTGACACATCAATTACTCACCCTGTATCAGCAATTCCATGTAAGCTTTCTCAAGTTCCTACCTTGTATCCAAATACCAGTGAGGATTCAAATTCCTCATTGTTGGCCTTCTCATCATTCTGTGCATGTATGTCGTGCATGTCGTCATTATTATTACTATATTATTCCTATTTTCATCATTATCACGGTTACCAGGAATATTAATATTCAATTCAATTCTACATCTTGCCACATACTCCCTGATTAATTTGTCAGGACAGTTATTAGGTCTTCAAGATTCTCGTATATTCTGTGATTTCCCTCCTACGTTTTCCTTGATATTACTCAGTTTATGTGCCCTATTACTTACACATTTCACCAGTACGAACAATACTCAGATATGATGACATGGACAGAAATCCCCATGTCGAAATCGGCTCAAACGTGTCCGTCTCCTAGAAACACACTGGTGTTCGACTTCCCATCGTCTTTCATTCTCAGGCTGCAATCCGATATTGGAAGCCTCCTCTACTGACTTTCCAATTCATAAATGAGTTGAGTGGCCTCTACCTACAAGTTCACGTGTTCGAACAATTCATTCACGTCCTGCTTTCCAATCAGCTGTGTTCTCTGAGCTGGTTGATCGATTCAAGAAGCTTTCATTATCCTACTAGACAACCTCTTCAGTGCATTCTCCATTGTGGAAGATGTTGACTGGAAGGAGAACAAAGGCTTCTCAATTCAATCAACCAGCTCAGAGAACACAACTAAATCAAAATTATCCACA